GGTGCATGGGCTTCTCACTGCAGTGGCTTCTCTTGTTGCGGAGCACGAGCTCTAGGCGCGTGGGCTTCAGTAGTTGTGGCTCGTGGGCTCTAGAGAGCAGGCTCAATAGTTGTGGTGCATGGGCTTAGTTGCTCCGCAGCATGTGGGATCTTCCCAGACCAGGGCTCGAACCCGTGTCCCCTGCATTGGCAGGCGAATTCTTAACCACTGAGCCACCAGGGAAGCCCCCCACTGGGGTGTTTTGAACGTAACCCTGTAATAAAGATGCAGTAGAGTTCCCTCGACAAAACATCCTCTGTTCATCTGTGGGGTGTAACTTAACACCGCAAAGCAACGAGCCCTCCAAATGGCACTGTGAGTTGGGTCCTTTGCTTCTTCCCTCGAGCTTGACTCTGATGCCACTAGCACAGCACAATGTTGGCCTAAGTGGGTGTGTGCGCTTTTCCACTGATAAGTGGATGTTAATTTTTCAGGCTGTCTTTTGAGCAGCAGTACACCAGCTTCCTGACTGTGCCTTTTCTATAGTAATTTCTCTATAGATATTCAATTTAGTGTAAAGAAGAACATTTGGGGTCACATTTTTTTTTGCGTAAACATTTTCAGAGTGATCCCTGTTTAAAATACTTAGTGATCCTGATGAATCAATCTTCTACTGAAGTTCACATTTTCGTCACATTAACTGTAACACACTCCCAACGTGATGCAGAATATAGCAGTGCCCTGATGACCTAAGTAAATGAACCCCGTCCACCAGAAACAGATAACTGAACGAACAGATAAATGAATGAATAATGGAGACTGGGCAAAATGATTTCTAATTGATCAGCTGAAATGAGCCACTCTGGTCACACACTTTGGAAGACTGTATGATGTAGCCTCATGGCCTCTAAAAGACAGTTTCAGCACAAGGCAAGGTTGGCAGAAGGGTCTGAATAACAAGACGTGCACCCATAAACTTTCTCCAAGGAAAGTTCAAGGGAGAAACGACAGCTTATTCAGCACGTGTGGACAGTCAAATGCTCCTCTGATCAAAGTCATTTAAATATATTTAAAATAGGACTGGTTCTACTTCCTAATCCTGGGGGACCCAGAAAAATATCTGTTTGCTATTTTTAGGCAAATTCTCTAGCCATGACCACAGGGCCCCCTCGTCCAACATCGAGAAAGAGGAGGCTGCTGGGTCTTCCTTGGCCTCCTCACTTTTTCAAATCTTCTTAAAGAATGAGAAGAGCTGACTTCTGCCCTGCCTGCTGCTAGAGCCCCAGCACTCTGACCAATCAATGCCTCGCCCCAGTCAGGGCTCAGTGAACATACCCTGGACTCTCCCACTGCCCTGGCCTGGTGCCCTGCACACAGTGGGTGTGACCATGGGTGTGGGCATGGTGGTGGTCAGAGGAAGCACAGGACACAATTTATAATGTGTTGAATTAATGACTGAAGAGAAATCAATTATTTTTGCCGGTAATTAAGACTGCCATTTCCTCAATGTCACAGAACCTGAATCCTAATTCTGCTACTTAGAACTTTGTCAATCTGGGTGAGTCACTTACCTTTCTTGGGCCTCAGTTTCCTCATCTATCAAATGGGACTACAACTACTGGCCTTGTCTATTCCATCGAATGATGCACAGGAAGTGCAGGTGAGAACACCTGGGGAATGTTTGTTATGACTCCCCTCCTCTCTAACTCACTCGCCCCCAGCCTGTCCCACGTTCTAGAGTCCTCCTTACAAGGAGGACTTGCTGACCATCCACCTAATCCGGCAACAAACAGTGCCACGTACTGGGGGGCAGGAATAATAATTTTGCTTTGGCATTCTTCTGAAAATTCTAGGCAATTATCAGCTGGTCCCAGAGATTTAGTGACAAGCTTAGTCCTAAAAAAGGTGGATTTACCATTATTTGTCTCACGTCGGCTCTAAAAGACGCTGCCATGTGGTCCGTGCTCACCACCCCTGTGAGCATCACCCCCCCATCCCGCTCTCTGGCTGCTGTGTTGAGGCTGAGTCACGTGATGGGGAGTGATCGGCATTTCAGGCAGAGTTACAGGGCTAGCACTGGGGGTGAGCCGCAAATAGGAAATGAGGTCAGGGACACAGAAGATCAGAATCGAGATGCTCACGGCTGGGAGAAATCAGGTTTGGGAACAAGAACGGTCAGGGTCTAGGAGGGAAGTCTCCACGGTTCACACTGGAGCACTGACAGGTAGAGAAGCTTCCAGCTGGAGGGCTGCACCTGGGGGCACGTCCTTGTTTTCCTAGGACTGATGCTTTCCCAGCAGCTCCTCAGCAGCTCCTCGCAAAGCTGGCCATGCCCACCTAAGGAGAGACCCTCAAATCTCCCTTTCCAATCTGAAGTCCCTTCTTTCCTTGCCTCCTGCTTTCTCTCTGATCAGCGGCCCCACGTGCTCTTGATCCCTTCTGCCCACCTCTGAGGCTCCGCCCACCACCTATCTCGCTGGAATTTGCAGTCTCACCTCCTCTACCCACTGTCCACACCCATCAGGACCTTTGACCTTGAAAAGCCTCCTCTCCCCTGCTACTTCCTCAAGCTACTTCCCCTTTGAATCCCCACAGGCCTCTGCTAGTTTCTAGGGGGCTGATATTCTGTTTTATGTTATGATGATTTGCAAGCGTCTTACCCAGCTTATTACCCTGCAAACCTCCTGAGGACAGAGGCTCTCTACCTTATTTATGTAGCACCTGTGGTTCCGAGCGTAGTATCTTACCAGTGGGGCCAATAGATATTTACTGTGTTAAAGTTTGCCATAATTCTGATATCTAAGAACGAGTAATCGTATTTCCCCGTTTCTTTTCTCATTACAAAATGCAGTCACATTAACGTGGTCGCATTACACGGCGGGTTCGCTATGAATAAAATAGCTACTGGTTTCTGTTTGATCCTCCTCAGAATCAAATACACTTCCCTGTCTTCCTGGGTCCTAAAACATTCCTTTAAGGATCATTTGATCCCTCCAGAAAACACTATCATCCCATTCTGTGCGCCTCCCCTCACACCTGTGCGCAGCTGACACCCCTCTCGATTACGCGCTGGCCTCAGCCTGCAGCTTCCCCCATTTGGCGGAACCTCTCTGGTGCGTTGCGTTCCCCTGGGCAGGCAGGCCGTCCCCTGCGCTTTCCACTGTATGACGCTCTGGTACTCAGCAGCCCACTGTCGCTGTCTGTGGTTGTCGCTTACACACGCACCTGGCAGTCAGCTCCTTCCCTGCCCTCCCCTACGTCTTGACTCACTTGTGAAGTCACCAAGGTCCTCACATGCTGTCAAGTACCCCAGTTCTCTTCTTTCTGGGCCCCGGAGCTGCCGCGGAAGCAGCCTGTGCTTTGGCTCGCTTTGCGCTCACGGCCCCGGCAGCGGGCTGACAGGTGGGGAGATGGCTCTCTCATCCTCTTTCTCCTCAGACCCACTATTCAATTCTCTCCTGAGCACAGAGGTCGAGATTCTGTGTCAATTCAAATGTCAAAATGATATTCCAATCTAGTCAGTTGTCGGATTTTAAAATCGCCTTTTTCCAGTTGTGGCAAAGGGTTGTGTGAGGTTTCTGGTCCTTCTCGTGCCTGATGCTACAGATGTGTGCACGAGCTGCTCCAGGCCAGGGTCCGGGCCGGAGCCAGCCGGGAGGAGCCTTTCTCTTTGGGAAGGGCAGGCGAGGCACGAGGCACTGGGCAGGACGGGGTATTGACTCAACTTGGGACTGTCCTCCAAAAGGAAACTGAGGCCAGTTCTGGAACAGACAGCCTGGGAATGAAGCACTGAGCCCCATCCCCCCGGCCCCGTGGCCCCTCTAGCGCCTGGCCCAATGCTAGGACCAGAAATGCTCCACGATATGCTTCTCTGAGACACACTGAAGCCTAGGCTGGGCCACTAAAGAGGATACTGGAATGAAAGATACACTAGCCCTATCTTGAGAAGATAAGACACTGAGCTCATTATAAAGATGGGAACGGGATGCCCCATGCAGGAAGAAATAGCTGTAGTGAGAATGTTTGAATCATCCTATCTGCATATCTTGTAATGATTTTAAGTGTAGGAATTTATTATCTAATCAAAAGGGTTTGTGATTATAATCAGAGACATTGTATCCAATCAGGAATTGGTAATTGGGGCCTAACTGTGAAAGTTACGCTTCACATCAGGTCATGGGATGTGCGCTGACTGGCAGCGTGGGGCAGGCCTCCCTTCCCAGGTCCTGGGTCCCAAAGGGAGGCGCCAGCAGGTTGGGACTGTGAGACTTTGGATCTACAAGGTCCCGAGGCCCGGGGGTGCTGAAGGCCAGGGGACCGACCGTCCAGAGGGGCAAGTTCCAGGGGACCATCAGACAGCCCAAGCTCACACCGCACTCCGTTGCAGTCTGGCTGGAAAGTGTAGAGAAGAGGCTCTGGCACTAGGGTGAACAGTCTCACAAATATAATAAATATTTCTTCCCTCTCCCCAGGAAGCATATAGAGAGCGAAATGAGTTCTTACTGCTTTGGAATAAACAGTAATGCTCTCTGGGTGAAGAGCCAACTGGCAGTTCCATAGACGGGGTTAATCAGACACAGGAAACTTTCTGATTAATTGGACAATTACCTCAAATTCTGAGAGAGCCAAGGCAGTGTTAGAGAAACAGCCTGACCAACTAGGAATAAATTCAATAGCCCGAGGCAGAGATTTTTAGCGCAGGAGGCTCGAAATACACTGGCACCATGTGCCTGATTTTTACGGCCTCACGTCCCCCAAGTGTAAAGGGCCTGTGACTATTTTTTAAGACCAAAGTGACTCAAAATCATTTCGGCTTTCAACAATTATGGAAAATCTGTTTGACATTCCCTTGAAATCACCTTAGGGCTCCAGGACACGGCAAAGCCAAAATTCAGGGGCCGGGAGAGAGGGGTCATCATGCTGGACAATGCAAGGTGGTCCAGATCCACCATAACTGTCTCCGTGCGAGACGGAAACGCAACTCCGCTCCTTCCTGGAGTCTGAAGGTGGCACAGCCTCACCTGGCGGGGGCATGCTTCTGCTCCTCCTCTTCATCCGTGTCGCTGCTGATGGTGATGACGCTGACCGTGGGGCTGGGGGTGTCAGGAATGACTATTGTCTGCCGCTGCCGCTCCCTGGTGGTGCTGGAGGCCCCGTCGCCCCAGCCGCACGTGACGGAGGAGCTGCAGGCCGGGCTGCTGTGCACCAGGGCGCAGCGCGGAGGCGTGTTCTCCTTGACACGCTTGGACCGCTGCGGGGAGCTGACGGCCTGAGAGGAGGACACCTCACAGGTGGAGACGTTTCTGGAACGACAAAGCCACACACGCTCACGGAGAGGGTCAGACCCGGCAGCTCCTTCCGAGGGGCTCAACTGTCTAGAAACACCAGCTTTGCCAAGTCTCCGTAAAACAGGTAGAGGACCAGGGCACTCAGACCTAATGTGACTGCAGAAGCGGCTGCCTGTGGAGCTCTCTCTCCGTTAGCTGCGACACAGACGGGGGCAGCAGCCTGGCCTTCTCTAGGCTCTGGCCTGGCCCCCTGCACCCGCCCCCAGCGGGACAAAGGGAGTAGTCAGGGCTCTCAGGAGAGGGCACAGGGCTGTGACCCATGACTGGGCTGGTCTTGTGGGGGCAGACGTAACGCCCAGGATTTCAGGGGTGTCTGCCCCAATGCGGCCCGCTGTCTTCAGGGTCGAGGCCCAACTCCCTGAGCTCAATCTGGTCATCCTCGCCAATGTATTTAGCTCTTGTTTGAGAGGTGGAAGAAAAGTATCTGCACAGGGAGCTTTAGTTTCCTTGCTAATGGCTGGCTTACCACTGATTACACGAAAACACGCACTTCCTAAGAGTTCCTGGATCTAAAGGATCTAATGTTAAAGCTTAGCTTTCCCTTCTTCCTCCTTTTATGGACATGACCATAAAAGTATCTGTGTGGGTATAATTTTTCAAAGAACGTTTTTTTTGGATTTTTGACACACGGGCATCACAGGAACCTTACCAGTCTGTTTCAATTGCAATGAAAAATCAGGAAAAATGCAAGAGGAAAAGGTATGCTTAAAAACGGACCTTTTAATCTTGATTTTGATCAACTCAAAATTACTTATCAAATCAGCCAATGTAGTTTCTGGTAACTTTGGAGAAAAAAATACCTTACCTTTTCCCCTCCCCATCAACCCTTGCTGACCTTGGTCATATCTGTACAGTGAGATCAAAGCCAGCCTATGATGAAACTTAAGACTGTGATATGTCCTTAGAGATTCTAGCATCTTCTAGCTAAAGGGATGGCAATAAAGATGAAAATAATTCCATAAAGGCAGATCTATTTAATTTTCTATTTAGTTGATATCAGATATGTTGCTTGTTCCTTTTGGGGGGCTCGTAGTAAGAAGTGTTACTGATAAGATTGTTCCATTCTTTGTACTTACCACAGAACTACGTATTTGTTATTATTAATACGTTACAATTTTGAGATTATGTTTTCACTACTCGAGCAGTTAAAATATGGTCCATTTGGTGTTGTTAAAGAAGAGTATGCCTGATGGCACCACCTGACAGGGGAAAGCCTTCTGGTCTTCCCAACTGTTATGCCTAAGGCACTGGTCTTAAAAATAGGACAACACCCAATTTTCACTATAGTGATACTGATCTTGAAATGCACTGGCAATGAGCCTTCCTAAAGGCAGCTGGATGGTGAGGAGGCAAGAAAGAGGGACTTGCCAGCAGGTCAGAGGCCAAGGGTTCTTCCTGCCCCTACCTGGCCAAGGTGAGCTACAAGGAGGCTAAACCCCACCTCCTGGCCAGACCAGGGTTCTGGCGACCACCTACCAGGGTGAGCATGACAGCATGTGAGGATCGAGACAGTGGCTTCTGTTGCCGCCCAATCTAACAAAGACACAGGTGTGCTGTCACAGGGCTGCCACGCAAAAGCATTCTGGAAGCCTGCCACTGATCTGACATGAATTTCCCTAAGTTGTCAGAAACATCCAAATAAGAATCTTGTTCGGGAAGGATGACAACTTAAGGAAGTCAGCTCTTGGATTAGTTTTCAAGTGAAAAAGAATGAAAAAGGGCGGGCCTAATTTCTGGCACCTTCCTATACAAGGAAGTAGAAAACCAAAATTCACTAGACATTTCCTATACTAGACTTCTCTTGATTAGCCTATTCCAAATGAGCAATTAGGTATCTCCCAGCCAGTGCCACTGGAGAGAGATGCAGGAAAAATTCTGCATCCACACAAGCTTGATTTTCTTGTTTGTTCGTTTGTCTGGAAATCTCTATTTTTTAAAAAAATTAAAAAAAAATTTTTTTTGGAAATCTCTATTTTTTAAAAGTCAGGTCTCTTGAGGTATTTATGTACGGTGGAAGACACCCTTTTGAAATGCCTGATGAGTTCTGACAAATATACAGTCAGGTAACCCCCGTCACGATCCAGATATAGAACTCTGTCATCACCTTGAAAAATTCCCTTATGCTCTTTCCTTGTCAATCCTCTCCTCTCCAACCCTAGTCCCTGGCAGCTCCTGATCTGATCTCTGTCCCTATAGTTTAACCTTTTCCAAAATACCTTATCAATGCAATTAAACAGCACGTGGCCTTTGTCAATCTTGATTTTTAAGAGTTCATGGAGATGAAACTGGATTTAAAGGAAATGGGAAAGATTATTGCTCTGCTGGTTAGTGTCTAGGATTAACCAAAGTTACTGCTTGTATTTAAGCAAGTAGCTAAATGAGTTAAATTTCTGACCTTAGATTTCAAAGAAAGCACATTTCTGTACTACCTTTTTTTTTTTTTTTTTTTGGCTGCACCAGAAGCTGGGTCTTAGTTCCCGGACCAGGGATTGACAGGGCGGCCATGGCAGTGAAAGCACCAAGTCCTAACCACTGGACTGCCAGGGAATTCCCTCTACTACTTTTAAATAAAGTTATTATGGTTTTGAAAATGCAACTTCAGAGGTCAGCCTGAGTGTTTTCTAGAGAAGTGGAGAACCGCTCAAGGCCCAGACACTGAACACTGTGGTCCCAGGCCCCCAACCTTTGGGTGCTGGCAGGGTCAGCACTCAGACCTCAAAATGAGTGCCTCCTTCAAACCCTAGTGCTCCCCACATGGTCTAGCAAATTCTACTGGCCACTTCCTGTCCCACTCCAGGGATCCAGATCTTTAACTTCCAAGCTCCTTGAGGTCTCCTTCCTACAAGGATAGACTCTTTCACCACCTACCTCGCAGAGGACTGGTGCTGCTTACTCTTCCGGGAGGAAGTGGTGCTGGTAGGTTGCTGCCGCATCACGTGGGCCACGCCCACATTTAAGGGTTGAGCTGCTGGAAGGGTCACATGACCAGTCAATAGCGCCGGCTGCTGCATGATGGGATTGTAATGGCTACCGTGAGCATGCGTGTTCCTAAAAGAAAGATGGGCAAAGAGGCTCTTTACTGGTTTTATAGAAACAGAGCTCATTTATAAGATAAAGTTCCCTCACCAATTAAAAGCCAAACGAAACCCAAAAGGTGGGTCTCTCACTCCCCAGAGAGTTGTTGAAGGGAGGAGCCACCCCAGGTGACTTCAACAGGTAAGTTTCCCTGGTGCAGTAACATTTAAGTGGCAGGGACACAACTTGGTGAGTGAGAAAGAGGGCATTTCAAGCAGGGAGATGCCAAGTAGGCAGACTCAGCTTAAGTTCTGGGGAGAGAAAATAAATATTCCCTCCAGCTTTTCAAGTCCCTGAACAGGTGACTGTGCTGTGTATTTTATTTTAGAATTTACCAAGTGCCTTCAGTGGGTGATTCCACTCTGTGAGGGAGGCAGGATATCTCAGTAATACCACTTTATAAGGGAGGATATTGTAGTTTATGTGAGAAACACACTTCGAAGACTGGGCGCCGTATGGTTCTGGCGTTCGGAAGTGTTAACACTTTAGAATTTCCTCAGCGGCTAGCACAACGCTGGGGCGTGTAGTAGCTGATTAATGAGTTACACGCTTCCTGAATGAACAATTAGATTAACTGAAGGTTGACTAGACATGCATAGAGTTTGGTACTAAGTGAAAATTACTAACGTCAGACACATGCTGATAAGAAACATTGCCAGCCATTATCCTGAAAATGGGTTATATGGGATCTGGGTTGTGTGGCGCTCAAAGGCTTGTTTTCCCACAGAAATATTAAGAGTAGTGATGAATTAAGAGAATTGCCCATAAAAACCCATTTAATACATAATAAAATGAAAAGGTATAGAATTCATCTGAATTTTTAAAATATTATGAAATTTATATTTGAAACTTAGGGAGAAAGATGAATAGGAAAAAAAGAAGTAGGGAGACACTTTTGGACATTTCCATGAACTTTAGAAACTGATGTTGTAGCTTCTTTACTTTGTTGCTATTTCATCTACAGACATGGCACTCTTTTTCCTTTGATACAGGTCTAGCACTGGTACTTCTCTTGTTTTTTAGCCATGATTACAGATGTTCTTTGGACCACACATGAAATGGAGAAGAGACTGAAAAGAAACTGTGTCGGCTTTAGGTGTCTTCTGTGGTCACCAGATCAGAGATGAGGAGGGATGAGGGATAAGAAAATATGCATGAGTGAGTGAGTACTGCTGAAATTCAATGAGCTAGAAATGCTGAAAGACAAAGGAAAGAAGGAGTACAGCGTACGTGTGGTCTTTTAGAAGAAGGGGTGAGGAAAAAAACACAACTGGTCAAACAGCTTTCCACTTGGTTGCTGTTCCTAATGAGCTGAAGAGGGAAGGTGGTCTTGCTGAGCATGAACCAGTGGGAATGGGGGAAGGGCAGATAACAGATCTATTTACTGCCTGTCATGTACCAGGCGCTGGTAGGGTACGTTAAATTCAGTCAAGTGCTTTGTTTCTTTATCTTAAATTTAAACCTCCCAACGATCCTATGAATAGACGAATATCCCCGCTTTACTGAAGAAGAACCAAGGCTCATACAGGTTAAGTAACTTTTCCCAGGTCCTGCAGGGCCAGACATGACCCCAGCTTTACCTGGTTTGAAAGTGCTGCCAATGAGTGGGGGGAAATGTAGGGGGAGTGCTGTCAGTGGGAAGTGAATGGGGCTGTGATAAACAGCCCGTGTTCCTCTCTTCTTCTTAGTAAATTAAATTAGAATTAGTATATTAGTAATTAGAAAATTAACTGGCAGAACAGAGGAAGCTACAGTTGAGGCTGGACTGGGGGCCTGTCTCTCTACCTCTCGACCTTTTGTCCAGAGCTCTTCATTCACAGTAGCCTTTCAGGTCAGAAAAGGAGCTGTCAGGAGGCTCCATGGTTGGTATGGAGACTGTCAAGAGGGTGAGGGGTGTGACCTGCCCTGCTGTTTGGGCTGAAAGAGAGACAGTGCAGGGGGCCACGGGAAGCTGGGGACAACTTGGGGGCTGCCATTTGCTTCTGCACTGGTGCAGCGGGGCATGGTGGTGGTGTTGGCGTGGGGTGGGTGGCAGGTACAAGGAAAAGTGGAAAGCGGCCATAAAAACAACGGAGCGACGTGTCAGTGATGAAGCTGGCGAGCGGGATGGGGTGGGGGGCTCTGGAAACAGATGCAGGGGGTGTGGCATGCTGGTGGCTGTCAGCTGGTTGCCTCTGGGGTCTGCGGAAAGTGCACTTGGATCTCGAAGATATGACTATCAACTGAAGAGACACACTCAGCAAACACACCAGACTTTATCATCCCAAATAAAGCCCTTTCTGTCAAGCCTCCCCCTGGGAGGTCTGCGATGACTCCAGTGTGCTCGCGTCTCGGAACACCTCGAGAACACTTTCCGGAATTGCATAGGAGCCCCAGGGACTCTCTTCCGCATCCTTTCGCTGGTGACAAATCTTTGTTTTCTGGGAGTGGAATTTAATTCTGAGAAACAACCAAAAAATCGCCCCATGCCAAGTCTGGTGAATTACACTGGTGATCAAATAATGGAACTGAATTTTGGGTGGAAAATGACACCTGACCATAATGTAATGAAGCTGATTTTCTAGTGTCCTGGTACACATTTATTTAAAAATAACCTCTCATTACACTGTAGTCTATTCCACCTAATAATCTTTTTAATTTAAAAACCAGGAGATTCTGGTACAGGCCAGCCCGGCAGCTCTCTGGGTCAGTGGTAGACGTGCCTCCCATCCCAGACATGCCTGCTGCCTCGCTTACCTCCAGTCGGCCAACTGCTGGGTGCCGGCCATGGTCTCGGGAATCACAGCTGCATGCTGCACCGACGTGTGCGTGGCCACCCCAGTCAGCTGCTGCCACGCCGGGGGAAGCAGGATCTGCTGGGTCCCACTTGGCCAGGCCTGCTGTAGGACAGAGGACGTTTGCTGTCACCATGTGTGTCAGTCATAAAATCAATCTGCATGAGTCAAGCACTTATTCTGTGCCCAGAGTTGTGCTAGACCCTGTGATAGGTGTGAAAGTGGAGACCTGCTCTTTGGCCTCAAAATCCAGGGGAGATAAAATTAGCACATGGGACGTCAACAGAAGATAATAAGGATATGGGCAAAGAACTGTATGGAAGCAATTCATTCACATTGAAGAATGATTTATTTATGAATTTGCTCTAATGAACAAAGCTTAAAATTTCCAAGAGTTCATTTATTGATTTATTCTGTCACACAATTGCGTGCAAGAGATTGAGGTAGTTGCATTGGGCCATACAAGGGTAACTTCTTGCCCTCAAGAAGTTTTCTGTCTAGTATCCTTTATTTAATATTTTGCCTTGTGTTTATCAGCTAGAATCTAGAGGTCCAACTTGTGTTATCTTCTGAATCTAAGTTAACATAATTCTGAGATCACCAAGTATCCGATACTTGCCTGCAACTGAGGGCAGGCGAGTGTGATGTACAATCCTTAGCTGGGACCTTAAGCTTACCTGAGAATTACCCTGACCTCCTCAAAGCAAAAATGAGACAGTGGGGGAGTCGCAGCTTGATTCTTCGTAAATATTAAGCGTTTTCTAAGAAGTCTAAAATGAACTTTCTTGATTCCTCCTTGAACAGACTTACATGTGTGCATGCACGTGCGTGTACTGTGTTTTGAGCTCTCTGTATCTTCAGTCACTATTCTGCTTGCCTTTGGTTATTAAATGATTCACAATGAACACAGCTGTCCAAAGCTGGACACTTGAAGGAACACCACTAAGGTAAAATTCCTCTTGGGCAGGGCAAGGACTTAAAGATTTGGGATCTTAGTTATAGCTCTCTTTCCATTGGGATGGAGATGACTGACACTGGGTAATTAATATAATGTAGTGCTCCACAAACTGTGCATGTGTTTAATATGTGTGTTTTGGCTCACGTGTACAAACAAGCACTTCTGGAAGTGGATTACAAATTTGAGTCAAGGCTTAATAAGTAGTGATGTGTATAAAATGATATAGCCGCAGTTTAGACCTGAGTGGATCGTTCACCTGGTCGATCCTGTCATCTCTGTGGCAGATGAGACCCAGTGAAATCTCGTATACCTTGTAGATATTGCCTGTTTGCTTACCGATCTTTTTTGATAGAGGCAGAAAGCTCAGGGACCACAGATGAAACAGTAAATGCTTAATAAATGTCTGTTGATGAAATGAAGGAAGCAGTTCTACCAAGGCAAGTAACTATACTTAACTGTATTTCAGGTTTACTGAATTCAAACACGGTGAGCAGAAAAATAATTTAATTGACTGAAACAGTTATGAGCTCAAAAGCTTAAATGAATAAGTTTCACTGGCAGTAAGATTTCTACTGATTTTGCCTGTAAATTATTTCAGATCTCATAAAAAGCATGTGTTTTGACTAATGTCATTTTAAAATAATACATCTTGATATCAAGCTAAGGACATTATTTTTTCCCTATTTCCCTAAAATGAATATTAACATTTTACTTCAAAGGGAGATATTTTTGTACCTCTATCACTGATTGATGTGTTCAACTCATTTCAGACAACACTTCATCAGATATTTCTATAATTTATTACCGCTTTATAAGATTAGCATTGATATTTCTGGATGCATACTGTGTGCCAAGCATAGAACTAAGACCATAAATAGATTTTCTGACTTTCTCTTAAGACCAATCCTGTGAGGTAGGGACTGTTTTCCCCTCCTTTTTCTCAAATGAGTAAACTGAAACACAGAGAAGTTAAATAGCTTGCCTGGAAATATGGTAAATTAAACATACATTTACTGCTCTCCCTCTTTAAGCTCAACTAAAATGACAGTGAAGGAATGAAAAAAATATATAGAGCCATAGGACAAAGAGAACAGGAAGTGACAATAACAGTTAACAAAATTTTAGAAGCTGTTAACCAGAAGGGCGATTACTGAGTTCACAGACTGAAGGAATCTAGGGACAAGTCTGTATATTAAACTATGAGATGCCTTCACCCCCAGATCCCTGGTATGTAGAATTATTACCCAGCCTCCCCAGTCTCAAAGCAGGAGCCTGGAGGATTCTCTCTAGGGAAACTGACTATTCCAAGAGAAAAAAATATATAGATACATTTGACAAGAGGGGATCTGCCAATGAAAATGTTGAGCTCACTCCTTACTGGTCTATACAGAAGCCCACATTCAGCTATGGAGAAGTCCACCGCCCTGCCCCTGAAGCTCTCCAGTTATTTCAGTGCTTCAGTCTTAGATATGAATGAACTGCCAGGGATTGTCAGATTTTAAAGGAAGCTTCTAAGATGAAAGAGACTAAAACAAAAAAATGAAACTCACAGGAAACAACAACAGTGTAGGAATCAGAAGAAAATTTCAAAAAAATATGTAATTAATGTCCTCATAGAGGTAAAAAAAATCTATCTATCTATCTATATATCTCCATGAAACAAGATCATGTATAAGAAGATATATCTATATTCAGAGAATGAGAAAGAACTCTTGGAAATGAGACCTATGACAACAGAAATTAACGATTCCACAGAGTTGAGAAAATATTAGGAAGTAGCATAGATCGAATATATAGAGACAAAAAGGTGGGCAGGGTCAGGGGGAGATACGAAAATCATTAGATCACTTCAGAAACACCAGCACCTAATTAATAAGAATTCTGCAAAGAGGGAACAGAGAAAATGGAAGGGAAGAAGTTAACAAAGGCAAAAATAAAAGAAAATTCTCCAGGTAAAAAGGGCAAATAGGTTGTCCAGGACAATGTATTCTAAAAGACTCACAAGGAAACATGCAGTCATGAAATCTCAGACCACTGCAGACAAGGAGAGTCTTAAAAGATTTCAGAAAGAGAGAAACATAACAACGACTGAACTTCTCAATGTGCTCAAACACGTCAACACATCAAACACACAAGCCTTTTAGAACTCTGGAAGAGTTTGGGGCTGCATAATAATAGACACAGAGGAAACTAACCCAATGAAAAGATGAGACAATCATTAATTCCAGGAAAAACACGTTGTACAGGAAAAGAAATGGAATCATAGTATATTATGAGGCTCAGCTGAAAAATAATATGATACAATATCGATGATAATAATTAATTATATTTAAATTCAAAAATAACTTCCCCAAAGTGATACAGCCAGTAAGTGGTGGGGCTGGCACCTGGACACGGGCAGTCAAATTCTACAGCCCATGCTCTCAGCCAAACTACTACCTCTTTTTACGGAGATGATACATAAAAGTGCTGGCCCTATTCAGGATCAGGTGTTGGTGGTAACTGCATAAAAGTGGTATGAAAGAGTCTCCCTTATTCATTAACAATATCAGGCACCAAGCAAGACTGACACAGACGGCAAGACAGAATGGTTGGAAAGACTGGCTGAAAATAACCAGAGAAGGTTTTGAGAAGCATCGAAGTTTTGTATTTTAACAGTTTAAAGAGTCCAAGCCAGTGGTTTATCCTTAGGGAAACATTTAAAGGGGTTCAGGTGATACAAGCTGATTGGCTAGAAGAATGCACAAAACTTCTTCATGGCAGGGCAGAGTCTACAAGGATCTGGCAAACAGAAATCTCCATATCCTGGGGGCTCTGAAGGGTCAAAGCGGGTTTGGGATCTTGCCATTTGAAAAGTGAGATAAATTCAATACTGTATCAATCAAGAACTGTACTTCCCATCTCTCTACCTTTACCTACTCATTCATAGTTTCTGATGGTGGTCAAGATGCCAGCTCTGGGCTGGGGCTTGGAAGGACAGAGGTGACAGCTCCTTTTAGGCGGTATCAAAAAAGTGTTACTGGTAAGGCAATCCATATCACCCTCGTGTCACTGAAATGAGAGGGTGTGATTATACTCTCTTCTTCCATGAACACATCTTTGGGGTGCCCCAGAGAGAGGGACATGTCCTTTGAGGGACATGTGATGCTGCTGGGAGGTGGGGCAGAAAAGGGCAGAGCAAACAAAGCTAACATGAGGGATGGATTTAAAAGACTCTATAAACTTTCACAGATAAACTCCTGGAAAAAGTATAACTATTAGATAAAAAGAAATACGCAGAATTTTGGGATATATTTAAAGTAATAATCTTTGGAGTGCCTCTGCCTGATACCTAGAAATTTATCCCAAGAAAAATGAAGGCGTCAGCTTGCGTGTTTAATTATTGCTTTTTTTCTTTATAGCTGCCCTACTAGTTTTAGAAGTTAGCTTATTTTCGTCCTTTGAAGGGACCATTAAACAATACCTAGGAGAGGACTTCCCTGGTGGCACAGTGGTTAAGAATCGCCTGCCAAGGCAGGGGACACGGGTTCGAGCCCTGGTCCGGGAAGATCCCACATGCCACGGAGCAACTAAGCCCGTGCGCCACGACTACTGAGCCTGTGCTCTAGAGCCCGCGAGCTACAACTACTGAGCCCGCACGCCTAGAGCCCATGCTCCACAACAAGAGAAGCCACTGCAATGAGAAGCACACGCACTGCAATGAAGAGTAGCCCCCGCTCACTGCAACTAGAGAAAGCCTGTGTGCAGCAAGAGAAAGCTTGTGCGCAGCAACGAAGATCCAATGTAGCCAAAAAAAGAGAAAAAACCCAAAAACCTAGGAAAGCTCGACCTTAATACGCTAACATATTGGCATGAATTGAGTGACAGAAAAATCAAAAGCAACCAATAAACAAAAAGACACACAGTGATGCTAGATAGGACAGGACTTTTTTTTTTTTTTTTTTTTTTTAAATTTAATCTCTCTTAGGCGTCTCTGCATGTCAAGACACTTTGGTCTACCATGTCTTTGACGCGCAGGCTCAGCGACCATGGCTCACGGGCCCAGCCACTCCTACTGCAAACAAAAGGGAGCTATGAGGACCAGAGACAGAGGAAGGAGTAGAAGGTGTGCTTTATACGCTGAAGGTTCTCTGTTTACAAACTTTCAGCAAGACACAGCTTTCTGTGCCATCGGAAGCTGGTGTTAGTGGTCATTTGCAGTCTCAATTTGGACATAAGGACAAAGAGATGAAGAATGGCTAATATCAATCTCAAACAAGCTGTTCCAGAAAACAGAAGAAGAGGTAATAATATCCAGCAGATCTTATGAGATTGGTGTAATCTCGATGCCCAAAGCAGATAAAGATTCTACAAGAAAGAGAAATTCATGCCGCTTCTCACTTATGAACATAGATGCAAAAATACTAGCTGTAGTGTTTGCAAACTATCCAGAATTGAAAAGCATACAAACACATCAAGCACAACATGATTAAATAAAGTTCACCCTGGACATACAGGGATAGTTTGACATTACAAAATCTATTAAGTAACTTGGTACACTAACAGATAAAGAAACCAAAACACAGGAGCATTTCAATAGATGAAGAAAGAACATTTGATGCAACTTAATATTAATTCATTAAAAATTAGCAAACTTGATGAAGCGTCCCTATCAACTCTTCAGAGTAAACAAAATCCCTAATGGCAAGCAGCTAGAAGAATTTCCTTTAAAGTTAGGTTCAAGTTAAGGATGCTCAATATTAACACTGTGATTAAACGTTGTGGAGGGGCTGTCAGCACAGTGATATAAGGACAATAAATAAAAGTTATAAAGATTGTAAAGGAAGAAACAAAACTGTATCATTTGTAAATGAAAAGATAGTCTACATAGAAAATCCAAGGGAATTCACAGAAACAATCAGAACTAATCAGAGTTTGGAAGGATTGCTAGATAACGAACTCAATAAAGAAAAATCAGTTACATTCCTATGAACCAAAGATAAATAATTAGAACATACAGTTAAAAAAGTTATTAATAACAAAACTGTAAAATATTTAGGAATTATTCTAACAAAAGAAAACTTTAGTGAAAGGAATAAAAGGTAATTTATATACAGTTATACCATGTTCAGGGATGACTTAATATTATAAGGATGTCCTGAAAGTAAATATAAATCCAATGCAAGTCCCATAAATACAAACCAGGAAATTTTGGGTTTTGTTTTGGCTTGTTTTGGAACCAAAATTCTTATGTAAAGGTGATGATAAAATTCACACGGAAAAGCGAAGGGATAAGAGTAGACAGCGAAATTTTGAAGAACAATATAGGAGCAGGGCTTTTCTGACCAGATACCAGACATATATTAAAGTCATAATAGTTAAGACAATAGGATATTGGAGAGGACAATGCAATAGCATACGGTGAGCCCAAAATAGACCTATGCAATTTGACTACCTTAAAATTAAAACCCCAAACCTCTATTCAACAAAAGACACCATAAGTAAGTGTCTTTGGGAACCAACTTTATTTAAAAACAGAAGTGCCTCTAAACTAACGACATTTTGGTCAAGCTGTCCTTGACGCCCAACAACAGAAACAGTACATACAGCATGGTGGTAAAAATACAGATGCTGGTGTCTTGGGTTTCTGTTCTGATTCTGCCACCTAATTGCCGTGTGACTTTGAGCCAGTGCTTGTGCTTCATTTCCCCTATTTGTCAAAAGGAGACAAATACCTTGCTATGTTGTGGGGATTAAATCAATAACAACTGTAAAGTGCCTGGCATAATGAGGATGTATCTGTTATTAAGGCTCAAGTGACATTAAGGATTATTACTGTTAGCGTTACACCACTATGGTTACCTAAAATTCCCACAACGCTTTACATATTTTCAACCAGTTTCACCTCTGTGATTTCATTCTAAGAATCTGTCAGGGTACCTGTGTGAACAGATAAGGAAGGTTCCATCCCAAAGCTTCTGTGATCCCGGTTTTCAACTATAAAACAAAGAGATAATCTCCAAGGCTCTTTCTGGCTTTAAAAAAATAATTTCAGTTTTACAAGGAAGAAACGCTAACTGACTTGCCTCGGGTCACAGAGGGTTAGGATGAAACCCTAGGTCTCCCGTATTAATTTGCATTGCAAAGATACAATGATAATTTCCCCAGACTCTCCCTGTGTCTAAATTTCTTCTTGTAATTGTAAGCTAGATACTTAGGGAGGTAATTCACTTGGGCATCATTCAGAATATTACTGATATATTCTAATGATTTCAAGCATCTAACTCATTGCCAGGGAGGGAATTAGCGAAGATATAGCTCTTTTGTGAACAACATTAACATGGATCATAGTAATACCAGTAATAATAAAGAAAGAATTACCTGGGCAAGCAGACCTGGTTGGATCTGAAGAGGCTGAGCTCCTGGGGCTTGAGTGACGATGGGAACCGCGTTTTCCATTCTCACAGAGTAGCCACCATGCTTAGAGGGAGAGGCCTGCAATCCTAGTCCAGACAACGGGAAAGGGGGAAAAGGGCTAAGTGACTGGAAACAGCTGGACGAGGAGAACCTTCCTAGCCTGCTGTGTCAGCTCTCAGCTTCCCTTGGCACTAGATACCGCCTGGTCCTTTGGAAGTCTCCCCTTTAGTTTCTAACTTAAAAAAAAAAAAAAAAATTTTTTTTTTTCTTTTGGCCGTGCTGCATGGCTTGCGGGATCTTACTTCCCCGACCAGGGACTGAACCCGGGCCCTTGGCAGTGAAAGCGTGGAGTCCTAACCACTGGACCGCCAGGGAATTCCCTCTAACTTAAAATTTTAAAAAACCACGAAAACAGCCTTGAATGTTTTCAAAGACTAGGTCTTTGAAAGATTAAGGAATCTTTAAAGCCAAAAGTGGAACAGTTATGTTGGCAAACTACAGCAGGAAAACAACTGCTTTTGACATGAAGATATATCTGCCTATGTTAAAGCCAGGCCTTGGGGGAGGAGTGAGGTGGCTGGAATTGCACTGATTCAGACTGAACCACGTAGACTTACAGCAGGAGGGTTTCAGAGACAAATTCTTGAGCTTTCTGTGTAAACTGTAACCAAGCAGCCAACTCCAGCTTAGAGTTTTCAGGAGAAGAGGCCGGGGTGCATGGCCAAAGGATCACCTGGTGGGCACGTGGTCGGGGGGTGGTGTCCAGGAAACGCTTTCCAGACAGATTTATATTCTTCACAAGAACTGGGACTAGTTGGCTGTCGGAGATCGGCAATTTTTTACAGATAAGCCACACAGGATATTCCATGTGAGGAAACGCAAGAGCTGACATCAGCATAACAATGGGAACACACACAATGCGCTGATTTACAGACAGCAACTGGGCCTGGGCCGAAACCACTGGCAGGTGATGAGAATAACAAGGCGCTGACTTGGTGCCGAAACGTAAGTCCCACTGTTTCTAGGCTGGCCGCCGCAGTACGGGGGCCCTCAAGCTCAGTGATGCCAGGGCTCTCAGCAAAAGAAATGAAGAGGGCTTTAGCAGGACAGAAGAGTTTGGGGGCTGGCGCCCCAGAGGTGGTCCTCTTGGAAGCAGGTGAGAGGCTGTGTCCACTCAGCCTTACCTTGGAAGCCGGGTGGACACACGATGAGCGCTTGCTGGAAGGGGTCGGGCCGGGCGCAGATCTGGGCCGCTCCCGTCTGCAGGGGCATGCTCCGCTGGGCCACCGCAGCCATGGATGCCGCTGAGGGCTGGTAGAGTGCAGATTGGTAGTTTAGTATGGAGACTTCAGGATTGGCTAAGGAAAGAGTGGCACTGGTGGAGGTGGGAGCCTAAAGGAATGGTGGGGATTAAACAAAAATAAACACAAATAAAAAATGAGGGAGGTGGCATGTTGGGAGACACGAATCTAAATCAAATAAATGAACTCAAAGAAGAGCAAACAAACAAACGAAAACCAAGAGCAAAAAAGCAAAAACAGAGGGGAGTGGAAATACAGTTGGAAAGTCTCAGGGAAAAGCAGGCACCTGCAGCCCCATGAGACACAGAACCACCTTCGGTGCTTACATCCAGGCCTGTTCCTAACATTTATGGGGCTTGCAAATGCAAGTGGACGCCTGCATATCATGTCTAAATACTGCAAAGTTAAAAATCGGCTAAAGGACTTACGTTCTGCCCTTCCACCTGGACACGTACACTTTCATAACCACCTGGAAGACTGGGTTTGAGTTTGAATCCCTCTTAGATTCCTTGGCTTGGCCACTGGAACATGGAGCTGAATGCCTGCCTTCCTTCTCTCCCTGTCCCAGCTCTGTCCCACAACTTGAGGGCCTTTGGGTGCATGTATTTGGACTTGGTGGTACAGTCCATACTGGGGAGGATGAAACCAAGCCTGGGGTGCCAGGTACCCAGAGCTTGGCATGGAAGCACACATACCTGGGGAGGGCCCAGGCAGGGGGCCCTTTTTCTCAGGTCTAAGGGCAGCACTGTTTACAGATGCCCTGAGATGATTGCAGAGCACCGTTACTGTAAAGAAATACGCTGCAGAAATAGAGACGGAGAGGGACATGCTGAGACTTGGGTTACTTGTTGGAATTCGGTGCATTCTCATGCTGGCGTTCAACTACTAAAGCTGGAAGGCAGGGAGAAAAGATGCCAGTGGGTCAAGAGAACTTAAATGGAGATGGGTTAGATAGATACTGAAGTTATGTCCTCTTTCCTTTCTCTTCCAGAAAGAGACAGCATTTGAGATTGAAATTCCATGTGAAGCAAAGCCACGCACGGAAGGAAAAGAAATTCTAAACTGAGAATTCTCCAGTTTCACCCCATCTTAGTCTTCTTCATGCTGAGCCTTTAGCAAGATAGGTGGAGTTACCTATGGCTTCAGATTCAACCTTTATAAGAGGTTTTGCCACTAGAGGTTACAAGCACTAAAAAAGTAAGGAGGGAAAGAGCCACAAGGATATCGTGGACACATACAAAATCAGGATTTCAAGAAAGGTATGCATGTGTGTCAAATTTGATAAAAAGGATAAAGTCTCATTTTACATGATTTTTATACTTATATTTGATGCTGAATTTCAGTGCAAAGCAAAAGAATTTGAAAGTAATCACTAAATTATTTGGCGCCCTTGTTTAGATTTTAAGATATTATTGTAACAATAAGTGTCTGTTTTTGCAGCACCACACAATTGGCCTCCAGGTAGTGTGACTGGGGATGCACGTGTGACACGTGTGGGCCAGCATCTTTTGTTGGGTTGGCCAAAAAGTTCGTTTGGGTTTTCCGTAAGATCTTATGAACTTTTCCCATAAGATCTTACGAACCTGAACGAACTTCTGGGCCAATCTAATTTTTTATTTTTTGTTGAAGTATAGTTCATTTACAATGCAGTGTTAGTTTCTGGTGCACAGCAAAGTGATTCAGTTACATATATATGTGTGTGTGTGTGTGTGTGTATTCTTTTTCATATTCTTTTCCATTATAGGTTACTAAAAGGTATTGAATATAGTTCCCTGTGCTATACAGTAGGTCCTTGTTGTTTATCTGTTTTATATACAGTCGTCTGTATTGGGCCAGCATCTGTGTTGCTACTGATGGCACGACTTGTGTTTCCTCTTTGTTCTCTCCATGGCCTCACCTCTCTGGGAGGCTTCCCCAGATACACACTTCCCACCACCTGCTTGCACTCTACACACCAGAGACCAGACCCTCCTCACATCTTCCTGCCTCTGGGCTTCCCTCTTCAGGGCACTAGCACCAATCTCCTCCAGTTCCCACGCTGGCGCTCAACTACTCCCCCTTCTGGCCAGTCGCTGGTACTGCTGCTCCTTCCCTCGAAACGTCCCCAGAACCCTCTTTTTAATCACTACTTCCTTAGCTGAGGCCTGTCCTGGTGCCTGGGACCTGTAAGGCCCTGACTAGTGATGCTCTGGCCTCTGCTTCCTCTCTTCCAATTCGTTTTGGACACAGAGGCTAGAACGTTCTTTCCAAAAGACTACTTTGTGCATGTCACCACCCTGCTCAAAAATCTCCAATTGCTGCCTAACGAATACTGTGTATGCATCTTAGTCTGGCCCTCCTTCCTCACAGTTAGGCCAACCTTCCCATTTCAACGTATCTTCTACTCTTCCTGCTTACGGCACCAGCAAGATAGTCCACTCACTGTGATGGGGCTCTGGTGATGAAGACCAAAACCACGGTGATATCTTGGCAAGGAGTTCACCCGACTGGCTGTGGCTGCCTTAGCCTGAGGACTGAGCTAGGCACTGGGTGGGAATGTTTATTATTTTGGACTCGGCTGTAGAGAACATTAGCTCTTCCCACTAAGGAGAATTGTAAGAACACCAAGGGCCCCCAGGGGGCAGCAGATTCCAGGCAGCCTCTCCTAGAGTTTAGGCAGAAGGAGAGGACAGGCTGGGAAGTAAAGCTGGGCCTTAGCAACACACCATGCCAGGAATGGCCTGGAAAACAGGGTCAATGACTCTTCCGTGGGAGCAGAGGACCTGTCGGAAAGGAGTAGATGGCCCAGCAGAGTATTCACACTTCAGGATTAGAACATATACACTCCCTTCCTATGGGGTGGGGTGTGTGTGTACACACACACACACACAGGTGTGCTGTTGTCATTAAAGATTGATATTAAGACTGAAAAAAATCTAGGGACATTTATTTGGTGGAACTGGTAAGGCTGGTTGGTGGGAATAAAATTAAAAGTCTCTTAGATACCAGCGGCAGCCTGAGTGAGGACTTGGGGATTATTCGTTCAGTAACTATTTCCTGGGTGTCATCCATATTTTGAGCAGTGTATTAGGTGCTAGATTCTTCTAATTTTCTGCAAAAGGCTGGAAAGCTGCAGGAAGAAAACCTCAGTTTCCCTGTCCCTTTTTAGTTCTAACTGCTGGAATTCTGGTGACAAGACTGATGAATTGATTCTCCCCAAGAGCTGGAAAAGGACAGGTTTTATCTGTCTTGAAAGGAGACCATGTGGACCCAGCAGTGTGGACACCAGGAGCAAGGGCCTGAGCTGGGTGACCGTCAGCATCCCTTCCAGTTCTAGAATTCTTTATCAGGCAGATGTCGGTCATAAAAAGATCACAGCACCTCCTTTACCTTGTTCCCACATCAAGACAGGAGAGCAATAAGAGGTACCATCTCAGAAGTAACTCCCTTAGTGAGTCATTTCTGGGACCTTTCTATGAGCCAGTAGTCAATACAAAGAGTGCCTGGGATTCTCAGATGAAATAACCTTGGGAACACACACTTTCTTACAGAGTTGAACGTGACAGCAGAGGGATTCTGTCTGTTGTACGTGATATTGGAGGAGTTTTGTCTCCTGACTCGGTTTGGTGGGAAAGTACAATTCCTGTCGCTTACACTATCAACCCCGCCTGCCTTCCCCTCCGCTCCCCACTCACCTGGTTGTGGACGGTGTTCAGCTGGTTGTTGAAGGTCATGGTCAGGTTGGTGGATGTGCTGGGGGCCACGTGTGTGATGAAAGGGGTTTTGCTCTGGTTTACCGTGTCGTACATGTTCACCCGACGCTTGCAAATCTCCATGTTCTGGAAACATGATTTGACGCTGTTCACGCAAAAGGCAGAGACAGAGGCATTAGGGAAAGACAAGAGGGTAAGGTGGAATCCAGGGGAGAAAACGGAGAGAGAAAAAGAGAGAACAGTTAATCTAATAAACAAAACAACCGGGACACTTCACGTTAGGTCTCAGTTTCCTGGATTTCTCATGCAGCGTCTGCATTTGCAAGAGTCGGCGGTACTCAGATGAATCCCCCCATTGTCTCACTACCTCTTCTCCCCATCCTGGTGGGTAAAGGTTCTCCGTCAGCACAACAGACCTCTGGGCTCTCACTGCATTTCCTCATGCTGCTGATCTGCCTGCACCTTCACCGCTCATTCTCAGCTTTCAAAGTGGTTTCTGGCGCATAAACAAACGTATAAGTTCTCTGGGAGCGTTGAACAGCAGTTGATGACCTGCCTCCACCTTCCTCGCGCTCACCCTTTCCAGCTAGTCTAGGGCACCAGCGCCATCTAGGGGTCAGCCAAGGAACTAGCCAACCCAGTACCAGGACCTCGTGCCACGCCCCTGGATTGTGTATGGAATGAAAACAATGATCTTAATGATTACTGCTAGTGGCTAACTTTACTGACAGTGTGGTAGTTGTTTGCAAGCACTGTCTCATTCAGTCCTACAGCAACCACGAGGGGAAGAGATACGACCGTTGGCCCTATTTTATGAGTAAGGCTGAAGCAGACAGAGGATGGGTAATTTGTCAAGATCAAGAGCTAATTATTGGCAGTCTTCACATACACATGTACATTCTCTTCACCTTCCTTCATTCTGCCTTTCAGTTTTCTAATTCTTTCCCAGTTACATGAAGTAAAGTTTCTCTTCCTCTTTTTCTTTCTCCATTGCATTTGTGAATCAAAACAAAACTCTAATTATGAAAGTCAAGTATAGAAGTGTTGCTGATACCAGCATCAAGGACAAGGAAAGCCACGAGTGGCCCTGACCAAGCTTTTGAAAATCCACCATATAGTGTCCTTTAGAATTTATACATTGTTTTTCATTCACTTGTCTTCTTCTAATTAATTTTCCTCAAATGGTAATATTCAAGATAATGAATATTAAATTTCAATTTAAAATACTTATTTTAAGTATAAATAGTTTAATAACAATATAAAATTCTACTCTTTTAAGATTACAAATGCACACTGTTTCCACATACTATAGGTAAGTTATATTCTGGGCCAAGCAGGTGCTTGTGGGCTATCCCAAAACATCCTCTCCATGAATGATGTTCTGAACTGACTTAGACATTCTTTCTGAGTTAATGACTACTTACATTGGCTACACAATGCACACTAAATAAACACTTACTGACTGACAGCCCTGGACAGGAAGGAAAACGTATTCTCCAGTAACCAAGAGCTAGAAACACTATTACTAATGCTGGTAATGCCAACATGTTTTGAGCATCTACTAAGTATCAAGCCCACTGCTAAGTGCTTTCACATGGAGGCTGAAGGAATAAAACAATAGATTTTGTGTTCTTTTTGGACTGTAGTTAATGCATCAACGGTTTTCTGACAATTCAACACAAAGCTTTTAGACTCAGAATCTTCTAGCTGAAATGGTCTGAGTTTTTAGTTTCAGTTAGAGGAAAGCACTTTCACCTTGGGTTCATTCTGAGAGTGGTTTTAAGGAATCTGTGCACCAGAATCCTGGCGTGGAGAAATGAGTGGAGTCTCTTTCACCTGTTAATCTGGATGCTGGCGTAACCCTGGCCGAGCCCCAGAGGTGGGGTCTCTAGCAGGGCGGTGGGGTGGCCTGGAGGTTTCTTCTAGCCCCAGAGTGCTCCATGGTCTGCCCAACAAGTTCTAGGGTTACCTGGGGATCAGGCCTACTCTTGGGTAAGCCTGGGTATGCGCAAAGACCCTTCTTTCCTTCCGAGGCTTATTTTCCGAAATCTAAGTTGTCAGTTCTTCTCTTGGTCTCACACCAAGTTCTGAATTGGAAGCTGATGCCCATGGATTCCACGCTTGGTCTTCATCCCACACAGTGAAGCACCCTATATCTGTTTCCTTACAGAACCCAGGGACAGACAGAACCCTGAGGTCATTCAACCAAGCCCCCAACTTTATGCAGGGGACTGTCTCACTGACTTGGTGCAGACGGTAACGGGAGCCCTCTAGTCAGCACCCCTCCATCTCCTATCTATAGCTGTTTCTCAGTCATCCCACTTCACCCCGAATACGCAAAGACTGATCTTATGGGGCCCCATCCAGCAAATCACCAAGTTTGCCTTTCTTTTGTGGTATAGACTGACACCCCTTGACTTACCCCTACCACACCCAGAAAAAGGACAAATCCCATGAGAGTTTGCAAGGGATGGGTCCAAGTTCCTTCTTTATACAGGAGTTTGGTTGTTTCAAACGTGCTTCTAAGTTAGAGGCAATGTCTGGTCGTTGCAATAAAATTTGACTTGCTCAACAACAGCTAATAAGGAACAGACCTGAAACTGAGGAAGCACCGTCCATGGTAGGTGCCACACCATCCTTTCTCATATGCTGGTTAAGGTCAAATCCAGCCTTAATCAGCCCAATCTGATTGTGGCCATGGCAGGGCCCATGATGACCTGCAGCTGTCTCTGATCCGCGGCCTCTTCCCATGTATTCCCTCTCCCTCCTGACCCTATCTAAAATCTGCTGCTCTCTCGAGCACCCTGCTTCTCCCAGCAGACACCCAGGGAGGTGACTGTTTATTCTTTCACATCCCAAGCGCCTCGGGGTCGAGAGGCTGAAGTGCTATCTCTCATTACTCTCTGTTATAGGCTGAACTGTGCTCCCCAAATTCACATTAAGTTAAAGTTCTAATCCCCCCGTACTTAAGAATGTGACTGACTTTGGAGATGGGATCTTTAAAGAGGTAAAATGAGGTCATTAGGGTGGGCCCTAATCCAATTCCTCAGAAGGAGGAGGAAATTAGGACACAGACATGCAAAAAAGGAAGGCCATGTGAAGACACAGGCAGAAGACAGCCATGTGTAAGCCAAGGAGAGAGGCCACAGAAAAAGCCAACTCTGCCAAACACCTAGATCTTGGGCTTCTAGAATGATGAGAAAATAAATGTCTGCTGTTTAAGACACTCAGCCACTCAGTGGTCCTTTGTTATGGTGCCTCCTACTACCCCCTCCCACGCTCAGGCCGCACAGCCTCACGTCTTTTCTTTCCTCCTCATTTCGCTGAGGCCTGGGCCACTAGCTCAGTCCTGCCCACCTGGGAGACTTCAGAGGTCACCCTGACTCCTCGTCAGACATCCTGGCTTCTTAGTTCCTTCTCACCTCCAGTGACCTGCGGTCAATTCCAGCCACCCATTCCTTAGACTGTCCAACCGGAAACTGCTTCGCTTCCCCCAAATTCAAGCCTAGAAATTCAAGCCTCCCATCCGGTCACATTTTCTACCCATCTGGCTTATTCGACTATTACTATACTAACCGATCTCTGAGCTGACCAGACCACTCAGTCTCTTTGGACCCCTCCCATCTTCCCTTCTTTTCTCTTCTGGCTAAGCCTCCCATAGCCATCACTTTGGATTTCAGTTGCTCCATTGCCAACGCCTAACTCCGTGTCAACCTTTTTCTCTTAGCAGCCCGGCAACACTCCACCTGACGGACCCAGCTACCTCCATCCCTCCATGTCTCTCCATGCCTTCACCTGGGGAGCTCAGTTACAGCCGCGCTATTCATGTCCAACCTCCACGCTCAACGGTTCTGCTCTATTTCTCTGTTCCATTTACTCTGCCACCTCCCACTACCTAAACTTTCGGGAAACATCTTCTGAGCATCCTTTATCTCTAAGCTCTTACTACCAGACACTTCCCATCAGCATCTTAAATTGCTCAAGTCTCTTCCATATGAAAAGAAACACCACCCTTGGGCCTTCCCTAGTCACCCCTCTGTTTTTTCCCTCCCCTTTCCCAGCCTTCCTTCTTGAAAAGGGTACCATCTATTTCTTCACCTCTCAATCTTTCAACCTGCTAAACTGGTTTCTGCTTCTACCATCCACTGAAACAGCTCTCACTAAGTTACCAACAACTTCCAAGTTGCCAAATCTGATGGGCATTTTTTTCCAAGCTTATTTGACTTGACCAAGCGACAGCAGACAGATCTCTGTTAAACACAACTCTCACCAGCCATTCCTCTGCCATCAATCCTTTAATGACTTCCCGTCGCTCTTAGAAGAAAGGCTGAAATCTGTAACACAGAAGGCCCGCCCCTGGCTTATCCTGGGGCCTCATCTCTCCCCCTGTCCTTCAGCTCCAGTGCCGGTCCTGCCCGGTCCTGCCCGTGTTGGAGTCTCCATACGGCAACGCCCCTTCCGCTCTCGCAGGCCCTTCCACCAGGCACCTCCCTCTCCTTTGGCGGTCCTGTCCTCGGGTCTTCCCTGCCATGCCCCAAGCAAGGCCCCCTTGTTACATGCTCTCCCCGTCCTATGTGTCCCCTGATAGCATCCTGGATATGTGGGGACCGCTGGTTTAATACCTTCCTCTCTCCTACAGACTGTAAGCTCCAGCGGGCGGGGGTCCCATCTGCTTTACTCCCCACATACTGCAGCTCCTGGCATAGCAAGCACACCGCACAGCGAATGAATGAATGAACGAAAGAACACACCCAGATCCACACTGGACTGAGTCCACTCGTGACCTCTGCCCTCGCACGTGGCTTTGCGTCACAGACGCTGCCATTCTGAGCACCTCGCTTCGTGCACAGACCCCCAGGGTCCGGCCCACCCGGCCTTGTGCCCTCTCACGCCCCACCGTTCCCCCTCTTTGGTGTCAAGAAAACTTCGGCCCAGGGTCCCAATGTGGCCACCACCTGTTTTGATAAGTAGTTTTACAGGAACACAGCCTCCCTCATCGGTTTATGTATCGTCTACAACTGCTTTCAGCTCTAATGGCAGCACTGAGCCGCTGTGACAGGGACCGTATGGACGCAAAGCCTCAAATATTTACTATCTGGGGCTTTCAGGAAAAAGTCTGCCCAGCCCTGGAATAAAGCATCGCATGGAACACCTACTGTGTGCTGTGGGGAAAATCGAGTAAGTGTGTCATGGTGACAAAGGGGTGGTTCAGGGTCTCGATCGGAGTGATTCTCTTATCAGCGTCTATGGTCAGCATCTTCTTCAACAGGTCGATGAACTCCCGCCGGTCCGCCTTTTCCACCAACATGTCACTCCCTTCCAAATCCGTCGTCATGTTTACCTGAAAGCAAACGGGGACAGGTTACCAAGAGCCCGCGCGGCCTCCCTCCCCCTGACCCCTCTTATTTTGCGCCCTGCAGCTCCATCCTAATCTCTCGGTCACCCCTTCCCAACCCCCGGAAGGCTGTGTCTGCCCCGTGGGAGGTGCTGCCTCGGGTCATCACTGCCCACCGGACGCGGCTGTTCTCTCTGCAGGAGAGACAGAGGGAGGGCACGCCGGGAAGGGAGAGGCCACTGCCGGCACCTGCAAATGTATAAACGTGCCGGGGGTACCCGGCTCCTGTTCATCACTTAGGTGGAAATGCACCTCACATCACGCCTCACCGCAAAGAACCACAGGATGAAGAGAGTCCTGGAGACGGAGTGCGTGACAGTGTGAATGCATGGAATACTACTGAATGGTACACTTACAAATGGTTTAAATGATAAAAGTTATGCTACATGTATTTCCCCACAGGTAAAAAAAACAATAATTACAACCAAGTGGTAAAAAATAAGATGCAAAAAGGTTTATTTATTTAACCTTCCGAGGGAGATGCTGGGGCCTCAGCACCCTCTTCCCACCCCTACGGTGTGTCAGTCCTCTTGCAGGTCCTGAACTAGGGCCCGAATTATTCAAGTCCCTGGGTTCGCTGGGATCACCTCTGGCCAAGGCAGGCAGGACATCTGAACACAGGATTTTTCTTCCAAGAGCAAAAGCTTATACTAGGATGGCCTTTAAAAGCCTTGTTTTGTGGTGCTTTCTATATTTTCCAAGACATGCGCGGGAAGGCGATTTCGGTTTTCTCAGGCAATCTAAGCTCCTAATCAACTGACAAGTATACTTTACTCAGAATCATGAGTTTTGGTTACACTTCTCTTCCAGAAGAGGTGTGCTAAGTCTTTATTGGTCTGTAGCTTTATTTTTCATTGCTTTGAAGAAAAACTCACTTTGGGTTGCCCTGATTTCAGACTAGTTTTTACCCTAAAAATAGCTGACGTTCTAGAATTTCCTCTGGGCACAAAGGTGAGAGCCTGTGGTCCCTCCAGTGAGCTGAGAGAGACTGAGTGCAGTGGGCTGAACTGTGTTCTCGCAGAAGATGTGACTCCTAATCCCCGGTACCTGTGAAATAGGGTTTCTGCAGATGGAACCAAGTTAAAGTCATGCTGGAGTAGAGTGGGCCATAAATCCAATGACTGCCGTCTTTATAAGAGAAAGAAGGGAGATTTGGACACAGAGACAAGAGGGAACATAGGGATGAAGACCACATGAAGAAGGAGGCAGAGACTGGGCGGATGCAGATACAAGTCAAGGGAAACCGGGGATTGCCAGGGGCCGCCAGAAGCTAGGAGAAAGGCATGGACAGTCTTTTCCTAGAGCCTGCAGAGGGAACATGGGCTGTTGGTACTGTGATTTCAAACTTCCAGCCTCCAGAACTGCGAGAGAATAAATGTTGTTGTCGTAAGTCACCCAGTTTATGGCCCCTTGTTAAGGTAGCCCTAGGGAACTAATCATGGGCATTAAACTCAAATGTACTAATGGGCTTGAATTCTTCTTGTGAAGACATCAATAAGATTGTCCAGTACTATTTTACAATTGGGAACCAATAAACTGAAGCCATTTTTAAAGAGCTGGTGTAAGGTTTTTAAAATTTTTTTATTTTTGGCTGCGTCGGGTCTTCATTGCTGCACACAGGCTTTCTCTAGTTGTGGTGAGCAGGGGCTACTCTTCATTGCAGTGCACGGGCTTCTCATGCTTCTCATTGTGGCGGCTTCTCTTGTTGCGGAGCATGGGCTCTAGGCGCGTGGGCTTCAGTAGTTGTGGCACATGGGCTCAGTAGTAGTGGCTCGTGAGCTCTAGAGCGAAGGCTCAGTAGTTGTGGCGCCGGGCTTAGCTGCTCTGCGGCATGTGGGATCCTCCCAGACCAAGGCTTGAACCCGTGTCCCCTGCATTGGCAGGTGGATTCTCAACCACTGCGCCACCAGGGAAGTCCTGGTGTAAGGTTTTAAAAATGTTCCACAGACCCAATGGTATTCTTCCTAAGGCTGGCATATCATTGTTTAAGGTCAAGGTCAACCACCACAGTTGAGTAATGTGGATTTCTACCCACCATCCTATATTAATTGCTCTCGCAGAAGTCTTGCTGTGCTTGGTTTTTAAAGGGCTAACACTGCATACTCACCCACGGAGCTTACCTGGGCCATATCATCTAAACAGTTGAAAATGTACTTCCTTGCTTCTTTTGACTTAATCCCCGTCTCTGCTTCATGGTCATCTGGTGTCTGGTCAAGAGAGGCAAAAGCCCATTGGTAATATGAGTTATTTCCTAGTCACTGTGACTCAAACCTGCCAGCTTCTGCTTCTCCCAGAGGGTCTTTTCCCACCTTTCAGAGAAGGAGACTAGGATTCTTCTTAAAGTGACCTGCGTACGAATTCCTTCCTCTCTTCAGCCTCCACACTAACTCATCCCTCCTCCTTCCTTCCTTCCTTCCTTCCCATGAACACCTGTTGGGGGCCTGCTCTGAGTCAGGTCTGGAGGATCCCCAGATGAGCAAGATATGCCACAACCCTGATAGACCTACATTCTCCCCTAAGTTTAAGGAATAAGGTCAGGTTCCATATGTGGAAAAGCAGAAGCCCTTTTTCCACTTGCTTTAAAATGTTAATTTAATGTATCAAACTCGTATACATAGAGCTCTCCCTATGTGCCAGGCGCTATTCTAAAGCACGTGAACTCATGTAACGCCCTTCACAACCATCTTAGGGAGGGCAGCTGCCAGCCCATTTTCCAGAGGGAGAAACGGGAACAGAAAGCTTGAGGGGCCTGCCAAGGTCCCAGGGCCAGTGAATGGCAGCTGGCTCCGGAGTCTGTTCTGTGTGTCCCCTCCGCCTGGGCCCGGGGCGCACACACCCAGTTCCCGAACTGGCCTCAGTCTAGGAAGCTGCTGTTTCCAATTACTATGGATTTTTGGACTCATTCATGGATCACAGGTAATTAATCCTTCAGATCTCACTCAAGGACAGCACACCTGGAGCTGCTACGATCCAGGCTTCGATCTGGGAACAGCTGGCCAAGTGGGCCTGAGGCTCTTAACTAAGACGTAGAAGTGAACCCTGCCCCTGCCTGGCCTCGGCCTCCTCCCCACCGGGACTCTTTTTCACCGGACCTGACCTTGAGCTGCTCACCCTCACAGGTGCCAAACGCCAGCCTCCCGTCAATAGCCTAGGATCCTTGTTTAGCTTCCAGATCTCTTTTCAAAGTCTTTTGCCACCATTGGCCACACATTATCTTTAAATGTATTAGAATATAGCGTGGTTTCTGTCAAAAAAAAACACCCACCCACACTCTTGCAAAAAAAGAAACACCTAAAATTAACACAAAACACACTTAAGACTTGTATTATTTTCTCCTTCCCAGGAAAAAAACATTAATTTTAATTACTAGGCACAGATCAAAGTGAAAGCAAAATACGTTTGTGTTAAAGTCAAACCACCAGAGTTTACGGTGTGCAACGGTGCGCTACGGTGCGCTCCACCACCTGCCGGCCGGGACCAGCAGACCCCTCCCCGGAGCCTTCGTACGCTGTGTGGCTTAGGCTGCTTCCTCTGCCTGGAAGGCCCTCTTCATCCTTTAGGGCCCGGCTCGAATGCTCCTCCCCGACCCTCTGCCACAGCGGGATTAAAGGCTCCCTCCTCCGGCCTCCCACGCTCTGTTCCTGCCGGGAACAGAGCGCTGGTCACGGCGGGGAGGCAGGGCTTGCCACACAGGTTCAGGCTCCCTCTGGACTGGGAGCTCCTTGAGGGCAGGGGGTGGTTCATTTCTCTGTCTAGTAACCAACCAGACAGGTCATTAAGATTCACTGGATTAAATCTCAGGAGTTTAGAGATCAGAGTTTGAGCCGCAAAAGGCAGCAGGTCAAACAAAGTGGTGTTTTTTGGTACACGGGCCTCTCACTGTTGTGGCCTCTCCCGCTGCGGAGCACAGGCTCCGGACGCACAGGCCCAGCGGCCATGGCTCACGGGCCCAGGCGCTCCGCGGCATGTGGGATCTTCCCGGACCGGGGCACGAACCCGTGTCCCCTGCACCGGCAGGCAGACTCCTAACCACTGCGCCACCAGGGAAGCCCAAGTGGTGCTTTCTGAACATTCAGATTCATCCACACCATGTATCAACCACAGTCGCGCCTCCCCCGTGGCCGAATCACAATCAGGTCCAGGACCAATGCGCCGCTGTCAAAGGCTCCCCACCGATGGGACCTTCTTCCCTGCGTGCTGGGTGTTGGAGGGGACGCTCTTCCTACCTTCAGCCTCCACAGAGGATATGGCGAGTCTGTGTCACGGTTGAAAAACCTAGTTGTCTTTGTTCCTGCGCTTAATAAATATTCTGCTGGCAAACCCTGTGTTTGTGAAATATACCGAATCTGCAAGAAAAGATGAGAATGAGGTCAGGGCTTTTCCTGTCATCATACATGCGGTACACTGATGGCTCTAGTGTCTTGGAGAAAAACAACAATTTTATAGGGAGAGAGAGAAGTTATCAAAGGGGAAAGAAAGAGGAATAAAGAAAGAAAAGCGAGGTGAAAGGAAGCAAGGTTCGCGAGACAATGTAACACCGCGTAGCCCCATCCGTACGTCAGGTTATAAATGAGGTGCCAATCCAGATGAAGAATGAGGGCTTGCTGTGCACACCTGTGCTCTCCAGACCCACCTGATCGTACTCTGAAGCTCCTGGATACAGCGGCCAGCCCAGGAAGAGCTCTGCAATGACGCAGCCCAGGGACCACATATCAATTGCCTCACAAAATGGTAAACCAAGGATGATCTCAGGGGCCCTGGAAAGGAAGAATGGAAAAAAAAATCATCAGCAATTTGGAAACGCAGGCAGGTATTTCTACATGAATTCTACATAAAATCCAGTCTTTCAAACCCGAGGTACCATTATAGACCCCCCGAAGGGCCTGTCATTCTCGAGCTGGACTGAAATGACCCCTCCACCCTTTGACTTGGCCCTGCCCATCAGCAGGGAGACTGGGTGAATGACTGGCTGGGAAGAAGGGTAGGTCTGTGGCTCTAGAACAGACCCCCAGGGAACCACAGCTATTGACTTCATTACCATTACACTCCAGCCAGATGAGCTAAGTATCATTTCAGAGACACTTGGGGAATTATGTTTCGTAGCTGAAAACTCGGGAAACCAACCTTTAGAGTGCCCAGTTTTTACAAAGGAATTCTTAAGTACAGGTATTCTATTTTCAGTAATATATATAAAACAAGTGGCCTCCACCCAGAATGGGATTACATCCAATAGCTGTTTATGCCAACAATCCTTAGGAGTTTGTATCACTTTCCCAAGGAAACACTGTTTTTTTTATTAGCTTCTAAAAAGTTCTCTACTATGACAATTATAGAACTCTGTTCGCGATACCTAGTTTGGGTATCGATCAGAATTCCATTATAAACCCTTTCCTAACTGTAGAAATTATGTTCCTTCACATGATAAACCAGGTTACATGCTGGAACTTCTAAAGGAAATCACCTAAACTCAAAGAGAAAATTTCACATGCAGTTGGTAATCAAAACCAAAGACCACAGAGTACCTCTTCTTTTCTAGGAATTGGTCATGATTGCTAGGGGTACATTTTGGAGAAAACCACATTCAGAGTATGAGATACGAACCCAGTTTATGTTTTTTAAAAAAACGTGGCTCGAGGCACTCTGCTGATACATTAGCCCAACTTCTGTTTTCTCTCTCAACTGTCCCCTTGATTAAGCCATACAGGAAGATGCTACTCTCCACCCTTTCAGCAGCCTGGAGCGGAGTGCAGGGAGCGGGGAGACCTTTCTCTGCCTACGTTATCTTCCCCCAGCTAGCACGAGAGGCGGGGGGTGGCAAGGGAGGAGGCGTCAGAGACACCTCCACTTGGAGCTTCAAGCTGAATTTTCCCTGCTTAAAAAGCATCTCCCCACCCGCTCCTTTAAATTTGCTCTCATTGCGAATCTTCTTTTTCTCTACATCATGGTACTGAAAAAAACAAAAAAAACAAGAACCAAAGTGTCTTGCTACCAAGTCTTTTGACTTTTCAGGTGTAAAAAGGAGTTTCTTCACTTCCTTGGAGCTGGAGAGTCAGCACTGCCGCCGGTGCTTCCAGAGCTCCACAGTCACGATCTGGGAGGCAAGAGTGCCTGTCCTGAGGCCCAAGGCTGGGTCTCCCCAGGCTCGGGAGAAGGGAGTTGCTGCGGAGGGCGGGGGGAGCGAGCTGCTGCTTGATGGGTCTGCCCTGTGCCCATCCCCTCACTGCTGAGCATCTTCAGCTGCCAGGGTTTGCCTGGCACTTCGCCCTGTCTTTGGTCTTTTTCTCCTCCAAGCCTAGTAGCTGACGGTCCGTGTGAATACGGGAGGCTGCTCTCGCCCTCTGGCACTGACGCCCTGGGGACGCTGGGGGTAGTTTTACGACACATCACTGCTGGACTGTCCTGTGTCATGGGGCCTCCGATCCCACATGTGGCCTAGGTCACTGTGTCCAGCGCTGCCGCCCCACACCAGGGCTTCCGGAGCCCCCCCCGATCATTGTGTGTAACCGACCAAATTGTTGCAGGTTGCCTCTGGTAATGCAATCTCTTCAGAGGTGGTTTTGGTTTATTTAAAAAAACACATCTTTTAGGAAAGAAGGGAATATTTGAAAAGAACATTATAGAGAGAACAACGTGCTTTTCCTACATATGTGTCAGAACCTGCTTTGCTTTCTGCCCCCTCTGTTCTAGAGTCAGATGTGTCCACCTACCTCCTCTCCCTGGGAGAGGTATTCTGGTCTGGTCCTGAGAAGCCCCTCCTGTGGCAGCCACTGCTGCCTCAGGATCAAGCATCTCGGCACCTCTGTCCCCTCTTCCTGTGACCTGTCCCCTTGCCCTTTGCAGCCTGGACACTCCAGTCTCCAGGCTGGGTCTTAGGAACAGGCGGCTGCTGTTCCATGGGGAATCTCTGGAGGTGACCATGGGGCTGCCCTTCCGATCAGGTTAATCACCTGGTCCCCATGCCCCTAAGCAGGTCACTGGGAACCTCTGGAAATCCATCTCCCAGATTCTGTTCCCTGATGTTCTGCCTAGCAGAATCCAACAAGTAAGACTGTCGCGCAAAGGGCGCTCCAGCAATGTTCTTTGGAGAGAAATACTAGACGTGGACTCTGTCAGCGGACGTTACACGGACAGGGCCTGAGAAAATTGTTCAGTCCATTCTCCATCGGAAAAGGGAACGGCGGCGATTCGTGGTACCGCGACATCTACAGCAGAGGATTTCTCTTGCCGTGACCATAGTGAACAAATGCTTGAGCGTCAGGCAGGGCGGCCGGGAGACAAAAGAAACAGAGGGCGCAGCCCTGTCCATTGGGCCCCAATGCTGGGAAGGCAGCACTAAAGCACACGTCAAGTGAGGTCGAGCACAAAACGTACACAACACACACACACACACACAGATATGAAAACAGAGCTAATCCAAACACACAAACTTGCTCCAGCATCTCCCGTTTTAAAAAATCAAGCAGGGCTTCCCTGGTGGCGCAGTGGTTGAGAGTCCGCCTGCCGATGCAAGGGACATGGGTTCGTGCCCCGGTCCAGGAGGATCCCACATGCCGCGGAGCGGCTGGGCCCGTGGGCCATGGCCGCTGAGCCTGCGCGTCTGGAGCCTGTGCTCTGCAACGGGAGAGGCCACAACAGTGAGAGGCCCGCGTACCACACACACACAAAAATCAAGCAGAACGCAAGGACAAAACACGCCAAACCCAAAACCAAACCTCTCCTAATCCCTTCAGCTCCCGCAGCTGTTGCCTTAATTCTCTGTTCTCCTTCGAAAGCTGAATCTCTAAAGAGTCATCTCCGGCAGCTTCCACTGCTTTGCCTCACGCACCTTCCCTCCCTCCTCTAACTGAACTTTCCCCTCTGCTCCACTCAATTGCAGAGCTCGCCGAGACCAGCAGGGACCACGTCACGTCCCCTGGTCAGCTTGTAAGCTCTGGAACCCGAGAGCCGCATTTCTTCCACGCAGTTGACCGTTCTGTCTTGTTTTGAAACACGCAGTCTTGGTTTTCACAACACCACGCACTGCCGCATTTGTCCTGCCCCTCTGCTCATGGCTTGTCTTCCTTTATCCAGCTGCTACCTGATGGCAAAGCCCTAGGACCCCTTCTCTTCTCTCTTTTCATTGTTTTTCTAGGTAATTCTTATGGGTTGAATTGTCTCCCCAAAAGACATGTTGAAGTCCTAACCCCTTGCTACCTCAAAATGTGCCCTTCTTTGGGAACGCGGTCATTACAGATTAGTTAAGATGACGCCATCCCGGGGTAGGGTGGATCTTTAATCCAATGTGACTGGTGTCCTTAGAAGAAGAGGGAAGTTTGGACACAGACACAGAGGGAAGATGGCCATGTGAAGATGCAGGCAGAGATTGGAGTGATGCTGCTGCAAGCCAAGGAATGCCAGGAGCCAGCAGAAGCTGGAAAAGGCAAGAAGGATCCTCCCCTAGAGGCTTCAGAGGGAGCACAGCCTTGCTGACACCTTGATTTTGGACTCCTAGCTTCCAGAACTGTGAGAGAATAAATATGTCATTCTGAGTCACGCATTTTGTGGTACTCGTTTCTGCAGTGCTAGGAAACTGAGATAGTCATTGTATCCATTCTTACAGGTTTAAATCCCATTTTGTGTATTTCCAAATGTCTATCTCCATCTTGGACTTTTCTCAGCTCCAGCTTTATGTTTCTTTTTTTTTTTTTTTTTTTTGCCATACGCGGGCCTCTCACTGTCGTGGCCTCTCCCGTTGCGGAGCGCAGGCTCAGCGGCCATGGCTCACGGGCCCAGCCGCTCCGCGGCATGTGGGATCTTCCCGGACCGGGGCACGAACCCGCGTCCCCTGCATCGGCAGGCGGACTCTCAACCACTGCGCCACTGGGGAAGCCCCAGCTTTATGTTTCTGATGGCCTGGCATCTCCACCGGAATATCTCACAATCATCTGAAACTTACTACGTTTGAAAGGGAACTCTTCTCTTCTGCACTCCGCCCCCCCCCTTAAATAATTCCTCCCTCTGTCCTTGTTTCACTAAATGGAATTACCACCCCACCCCGCTGTTACTCATGTTGGAAACCTGGAATTGACCTTTGATTCCTCTCTCTCCCTCTTCATCCTCACCACCCAATCCATCAATATGGCAGCTCCGAAGTACCTCTCAAATTGGCCCCTGATTCTTCATTTCCACTGCCACTGCTCTGGCCCTGGCCACCCATCTCACCTGGAGCTTCCTATCTGGTCTTTCCACTTCGTCACCCCTTCCTCCAGTCCAGTCTCTACTGGCTGAACAGGTCACACGTCCCTCGGCCTGAAGCCCTCCAGAGACTCCCTGCCACACTTAGAATGAGGTCTCCATGCCCTCCAGGCCCACGGAGACCTCCTCGGCCGGGCCCTGCCCAGCTTGGCACTGTCCAAGTTCAATAAGCTCCAGACTAAGCAGCTTCGCCTCTCAGTTTCTGGACACAGAGCCTTCACGCAGTGTCGTCGCTTCTGCCTCAGATGCTCTCTCCGCTGGCTCTCAGGTGGTGGCTTCCTTCTCAGCCGTCAAACCTCAGCCTAATCGTCACCGCCACAGACAGGCGTCCCTCGGCACCAGTGAGTCTCTGTCTACGGTGCCATAAATGTCACTTTACAGCACTTGCCCAATAACCTGCTTACTGTCTGTCTCCCCTGCTCAGCCCACAGGGGCAGCACAGTGCCTGGTATTTAGTAGCCACTCAATCAGTAAGGATTTGTTGACTGAATAAACCTTTATTAAATATAAGGAAGTGCTAAAT